GTCGCTGGTCAACGCAGCTCTCAATGCGCCTGCGGATTTTTCTATCGCCACAATACGGATGATGAATTGCCCTCTGGTGTCCCCGCACGCCCAACGACAAGTTCAAAAAGTTTCCAGCCCGATTGTGGGAGAAAGTTCGCAACATTTTCAATGGACGTGTGTCCTCCCCTCCTCCTTTTTTATTTATTGTTCGGTGCCTTTTGACAAAAATTGGTGCGGGGGATGTTCGGGTGACAAAATCATTTTGACCGGAAAGTGAGGCTTTTCCAAACCAGCACAGCGAGTGACAACCCTCGCAACTCGAGCGTCCTAATCGAACTTCTCTCGGGATTCTCGAACCTCTTGAATGTCGTTTTTTACATGAAAATTTGCAGGAGAATAATACGGAGGCTGATGAAATCTTGAGCAAATTGCCGCAAACTGTGAGCGAATTAAGATCTTCACCGGAGAACTAATTCATAAAAAGGAGGAGATCGCGACAAACGGTTGTGAAGTAATATCTAATTAGGACTATACGTCCACAGATTCGCCCTTCGGAACTTCTGGAACAAGTTTAAACGTTTCTTCGTACTTCATCATTCACGTGTCGCCAGCAAACGAGAGAGTCTGCTCGGTGTTGCTGCCGAACAACATGCGGTCTACAAACTCCGTGAGGGGAGTTGCTCTGGTGGCAGTTACAAGTGATAGCGTAGCGCACAACCCCTGCGGTCTCCCGACCACGCAATCCAACTACTCAACACTTCGAAACAGAAACACAACTATGATGGAGAGGCGCTCGGTAATTAGAGAAGTCACTCAACGTTTGAGACAAATAAGCATTCGTCGAGGAAAATAGGGATCAATAGCTCTCCGCGGAAGATAAGAGAGATAAGCTAGCGTTGCGGTTATTAACAAAAGAGTAACGCCGCTTTATTTATGCAAGGCGGTTTCTACACTCCGATAACAAGCCAGTCCGATTATTTCTTAAAGCCACGCTCTTGAAAGGCAAATGGTAAACGTGTGTTAATTGGATGAATGCGGACTTCGTTAAATTAGCTATCAGATAATGAACGCATTTAATTATAAATCAATGTATTTCTGAATTATAATATATCTTTGAACTCGTGACATTGCATTTTTTGTCAAACAAAATGTATATAGCGTACATCAACAAAAATGTAACGTTGACGTCCACTATTTTTTACTCCGTTTGTTCATTTCTTACTCATTATTTCTTTGATGGATTACATTTCTTTGACAATTCAATTTTGATCACTAGTCTGATTTTTCAAATTATTCTAAAATATGTTACAATTTCAATGTTATTTTGATATTCACTATTTAGACTCCCTTTCCAAATAGCAAATATGGTTTTAGTACTCGTATTGAGAGAAAATTATTTCCGTCGTATTTATTATCATTTATCAGCAATTGAAAAATATTGTAATGTACTAATTGATATGCGTGAAAGGTAAACTCATTCGAATTATTTGCCGTGGGTACAGTAATGAACGTTTAAAAAGTCCCTTCTTACTAAAACAGTATTTGTGTCAGTCATATATAAACATTGATATATTGCCACAAATAAAATGTAAAGAATTGTAAATATTAGCATAATATCATATGTATTAAGTGAAACATCAACAAGTTTACATTACCATATTCATATTCAAAAATATCTGTACCATAAGCGCGTCGCATTGTGTCGAATTATGCAGCAAGGAAGAAAAATTAAAACATTTCATATGATGAGATAACAATGTGTGAAAATGCGTGGTGTTAAAGTGCTATAAATAAAATCACTACCTTTCCTGTCATTCCGCTCGTATGAAAAAGAATGCAATCAGGAGCGTGAGTCGAGGGCAATGAAGCCGCCGCTTCGGCCATCGCACCTTGGCCGCCTTCGCAGCGCAGCCCTCGACGCGACATCGCTCGGACGACGAGAGCTTTCTTATATGTTCCTTATCGCACGGTATTAAATACCAAGCGTAGAGTTAGTGCTCAGTTATTAATAAATTTGTCTCCACACGATAAGTGTAGATGTCTTAGTTCATTTTTTCAAGTCAAATATTGTATGTATAAGTTACATGACCAAATAATAAATTCCAATGAAAAAAGACGATCTCCAAAATCTGTCGGTATTGTCGGCTCACGAAGCTGTTTCTTTCAGTTTCAGGGATGGAGGATCTTGCATGGGCTGTTGAGCACCATGAAATCCTAGTCGATGACATGGAGATGGCTCTCTTATTGATCGAAGAACTGCGAGCGGGAGGCGATGCTACTAGTGCACACAGAGTCTTTCCAGCCACTGATCACACTACAGGCCCTCAAGGAGATTCAGGCCCCGCCGCCGGTCACGGCCCAGCCCCCGCTCCCGCTCCCGCCGCAGCGCACGCTCCGGGCCCAGCCCCCGCTCCCGACGCAGCCGCCGACATGGCTTAGGTGAGTGCATTGAGCAGTGGCAGCTTGTGGGGGAGTGCCAGCGTGCCACGGCACCACCATCGAAAAGGAAGGAAAAGAAAATGTTCACCACAAACGGTATAAAATACCGTTTGTTGAAATAAATATTGTTTATAGTAATTCACTTGAACGAGCGTTTAGATCTTAGGTGCTTTATTAACAATTCCTCTCGTGAGACATAATTGCGTCTCCGTTTTCGTCCGATAACTGAAAATGAGAAGCGAGAAAATACTCCACGCGTGACCTTGGCGCTTGGGGGCACTTCGCGATGCAATCATGGACCTCCAATGATTCAGCATAGGAAATGACACACCATTGGCTGCACGCGGCCGGAAGCGGACCGATGACAGGGGATAACGGCTCTGAGAAGAAGGAGCCAGCGATTGGCCTCAGATTGCTTTCGCCCGTGTGATGTGCGACGCGGACCGACCACAATGGAGCAAGAGCAGACAAATTTCGCGAGAAAGCTGTGAACTAGACGCAGCAAACGCGACTATATTGTGCAGACAAGCATTTATTAAATTGTACCAACGTTTTGTGCAAATTATGTGTAAACAAAAAACAATATACAAGTTTCAATATATATACAAGCATCTTAAAAAATAAGAAAAAGTAACGCTTTATTTGCTTCATGTCGTGGTGAGAATCACCCATCCCGTTAAAGCGTGAGCGTTCCTGTTCCTCTTTGACATAAACGCAGCTAGGGTTATAGAGTCGCAGTGTCCCGTGGACGGTTCGTTGAAGAATACGGTTGGGCCATCCAACCATTTTATGGGAACCACTCCTGCGTAATTTTGTGAACCACCAACTTTTGAAATTGCGTTCTTACACTGCAAACACCTCTGCCTGCAAAGAAGAATTAATTAACACTATTCGTCCGAAAGTTATGGTCTAGATTTTGGACGCGTACTTTCAGAACAATAATACTAAAACGTTATTGCTCCTTGCACAGTTGCTTCTTCCTTTTACGGATATGCAAAGGAGTAGAGAATATGGGAGATGGTGACGAAGAAAAGAGTTGTAGTAGCTTATTCTGTCGACGGAAACAAACTGTGCAAGTAATACATACGTACCTGTATTTTTAGATTTTATTATTGTGTTATTCGCGGTTTTTGTTTTAACTGTGTAATTATTGCTAAAACATTGAAGAACCGGAAACTTTGTTGGCATTTTACGGTTCACAGAAGTCTTTAGTATCCTGAAATTTTGTTTAACTGCGTTAAAAATAAACTATCAATATAATGCATAATCTACACTTATATTTTTATTGTGAACAAATCCCTTGAAGTCGAATCCCATCCAATTGAAGGTAGATTTTGAATGACCCATCATACAATTTTAGTCAAATTTTACGAGAACTCTCAACAGACAAAATGAAGTGATGGTGATACATAAAGTGCTGAGAGAGCATTTCATTTATTTAGGAAACAGCTGTCCAGACGCGATGAGTAAGCGGGAGTGGGTCGAATTATGTCCCTTCAGTACGGCTGGAAGCGCGCCTAATAAAAAGAGCTGCATCCGCCTTTAATGGCGAATGACATGATGGGAGTAAATTGCAAGCTCTGTTTATTGTTTTAGTAGTTTCCGTAGTTTATGAAACTCAGAGTTCAGGTTAAAGCAGATGTGATACTACACAGAATCAACGCGGCTCCCAAACTAAGTTTGATCGAAATACGCGGAACGCAGAAAACTTATGGAGATGGAGTGAAGCGCATTGCTGTTGACGCAAATAAGTAGTTTATTTCCAATTGGTACAGAAACAAAACGGGCACGAATGTCATGCGTTAGTGCACAATACCTAATGAAAAACTGATCGTTTGCAAGCAAATAATTAGGAATTCATTGATCTCAATTTCATATTTTGTTTAAATGCTTATTACAAATTATAAATCAGTACCGTGTTCGGTAGCTAAAAACGAGTAGTTTGTTCTTTACCACTTAATGTGTATGTGTGTGGTCGGAAGTTTATTCTCTGCATCATGTGTTTCTTTATCTATAGCCCAAACAATATTTATTTTATAGAATAAACTTTCAACCTCTTGACTGAATTGAATTGATTTTCTTGACAAAAGGATTTTCCTCGGACTCTTCTAAGAAAACATTTTCTATGGTTAGCACAAACATCGAAGCTTAGTCTTGCAGAATATTAAGTCTTAAATATATTTTCACTCGTTAACAACGCATCGTTTCTCTTATGGGCTTACTTTTGTAAATTATTAGAAAATATTATGGGTAAGAATTCAAATCTTGTTATAACATTAAACAAAACAGAAAAGGGAATAAGCCTATAGCTAACAACACAAAAATGCCATAACTTTCAGCTTGTTCACTACAAATGCTTTTGTCACTATCCTCCTCTTAAGATTAAATATGGTCGATTTCGTAGGTACAGCCACTAAGTTCCCGATGACGCCCTACCTCTAATGTAGCAACTGGGATGCTCAAGTGCCCATGCCGGCCGTCACCACCTTCGGCCGCCTCCACCCAGAAGAGTGGAGTCAAGTATGTTATTCGTCTTTATTAATAAATAAAATATAATAAACTGTAGTTAACGTTACTTCTATTTAACAGAACTGCATTTTTAACCGATTTTAGCAAGTCAAAATATAGAACATAACAGATGTTCCGAGTATTAACTTTATAGGGGTCCGTTAATACATGTAACGTATAGTGTTTTATATTTTGACTTATCAAAATCGTAAATATAAGTTTAGATATTTTGACAATTTTAGCTATTCAAGAACACTATTAACAATATAATTAATGTCTCTACCATGACGCTAAGACAAGGCGTTTGGGAAAAATATTGTGTTATACCCGTTTGGAAATAACAATATTTACTTTTAATTGAAGATCTTGATTCTAGAGTGTCCTTTGCCACACCAGTTAACTCTGAGAAACAAGAAGATAAATGTTTCAATCCGAGGCTCTTCACCACGGATTAAAGGACTAATGTTTTCGTAGTGCAATGTCACTTGTTACTCCGGGATGACAATTCTTGCACAGAATGTAGTAAACAATACGGCGAGTATATGAGTGGAATTCACGTCATTTTGACGAAAATGTTGCATATGACTGGAGCCGAGGCCTTCAATTGAATTTGACTTTAACGTAGTGACCTCTAGTTACACGACAGGATCAAATTAATTTGAAAAAATATTTGCTACAAGTGGTTTAAGGGCAATATATGGTTGATTGGAAATGGTAATAATCAGCTCTATGCTTAACCACGTCATTCTTTCGATTGCGTAGACATGAATAAATATTTCAATAAAACTACCAATTATCTCTTAAAGAATACACGCACGCTCCAGGTACCACGTCAGCAAGCGCAAACGAAATGTCCTACGAAAAGTCATTTCGTGGAAGTGCCGTTCCCTTACGACTGCTCATAAAATTTCTTGAGTACCAGTCCGGTAATTTGAGGCCTCTCCTTCTATATTCCTTCGTTAAGCGACATTTGAAAACACTATCTCTCTTCTGACGTTCTTCCATAATTAATTCTTAACTGCTCATTTATTGCTCATACCACAGTAGTTGCATTTCCTTTAGTCTCGAATAGTCCAATCCTTCGTAAATTTGTAGAGTATGTTAATCTCGTGGAGCCTCCATTTAGATCTTTTGAAGTCGGTAGTTTCTAACTTCCATGTCTTGGACACTAAACCTTCGGCACGCAAGAGTCCTGTGCGGAAGTTTTCGGGAGAAATGCTTCCCAGTTCTGGATTTATGATGTAGAAGTTATATTCCTTTATTCACTTTTTAGATTAATGCAGGAAAATTTTCGAGCATAATCTGTGCTTTAACTTACGCGCTACATGGGAAATGCAAAACATTTTTGAATTTGCTAGAAAGATGTTTCTGTGAAGTCTCATTTTAAACTTGTCTCCTTTTATCGCAATATCTTAAAAGTGAACTTTTACAGGAGAGACGTACTCGCACTTTGAAATGTCAAAGAAGACTCAGACATTTCTGAAAAAATTGTCTTAAAAAAGGGTAAATAAGGAAACATTCATTCAAGAGCCTTCGTGGACCGATGGAGCGATGATACCAGTTTCAAATATCTCCAGATTTTTGCACCTTTTTCAACCAGTTAACGCGTTTTTATCATCCGTACATTACGATAACAATATACCCATCCGATGGTAATAAATAAATATACTAATGTTAACTATATGCTAATTAATGTTTATATAAAATATTGTTTAGATTTTCTGGTCTGCGACCCCCAATATAAACAGATTTTATAGTTTTCCTAGTGAATCAATGCTGAGATGATCTTATTTTTATAGAAAATAATATAACTTTTCCCTTCCCCTAAACTTTCACTATTTTAAGGTGAAGTAAATTTAATTAAATTGTAATCTTTCTTGCCTTCTGATGAGACTTAGAAAATAACGTCAAGATTTCACGTCTTTTTCAAAACATGATTTTGGGGAATGAAAATAGATATACACAGGGTCAGGTGGTTTTATTATTCTTACTAACATATTTAAGCAATATTGTTTATATATTGCTGGTGATGATATCTGGTGACTTGATATCTTCTTATAAATTAAGATACAAGTGTTGTCTCGGAACAGATATTATTTTTCCGCCCAAACATTGCTAGGTCTAATTATTGCTTCGCGACCGAAAATATCTTAATCTATTAAATATTGATACCTAGACAACACTTGTATCTTAAATTAATTTAAAGTGCATTAATTTTTCTAGCACATTTTTCTGTTCTTTTTCCAGTACTCATGGAGATCTGGAGTATGGATAACCGCCATCGTTTGTATAACAAAAAGGGGTAATGTATATTCAAAACTAGTTTTTCTCGGCTCACTGAGAATGAACATCTGTTAAGTTAAAGCTACCTTCTTCTTTCACTCTTTTGTCAGAGCAGGATATTAATCATGTAATGAAATCTTAACATGTTAGATCAGTACCAATAAAGAGTAGCTAATTTTTTTTCCAGTGAGGCGAGAACAACTGGTACACAAATATTTCATGCAGTACAGAAAATTCCAAATTTTTAAACTAAAAAAATTAAAAATATGAAATTTAAAAAATTAAAAATAGAAAAGTCTAAAAATTAAAAATCCAAAATTATAAAAATTAAAAATACAATATTTAAAAAAAATTGGCAAATCCACTCCTCCAATATGTTTATTCATTATTGGCTTGGAAACTTCCACATAGCAATTTCAGATATTTGGAATCAGAACCTTTCAAAATTTTTGTTCCGCCATAACAGTGGAAATATGCCCATTGGGGAACTCGCCACTATAAAGAAAGGAGTAACGCGCCATTGGGACTACAGCATGCAGATTTGCAACTGTGGTGTGGAAACGTCCCAACTGTGGTGTGCAAGACGTGAACAGAACACCCTTCTCCCATACCACGCCACACACAAGTTTTAGATATTTTGACGTAAAAGAAATAAAACCACTAATATCCCTCAATAGAATTTCCATCTACAGCATACATTAAAATTAGAATAAAAATTTAGTGCATGTGTCGTATGGGAGAGAAATATAAATTGCACAAAAAGACCACAATTCCCTTCTTGGATGAAAACACAAGTTTTATGCACTATTTTTAATGTACTTTTTATGTTAAACTTCATACCATTTTTGCACGTCTGCGAATTGTCAAAGGATATTTTTGATAGGTGTATTTTGTTCGACTGCATGAAATCTATGAGAAAAAAAAAATTTTTCCAATTTTTTATCCTTTTTTCCTCGTTAATTCGTAACGAACATAGTCTTAGAACGTAATTCAAAATATCAGTTCCAAGAAATGTGTTATTCCTTGAGTGTTGAATTAACGCTTTTGAACTCGTCCCCTATACAAATCCAACAAATCAAAAGATTTGAGTTATATTTATCTCGTTACATTCTTTTCGCTTATCTAAATAACACTGATGCAGGTAATCATTACCTTTTCTTAAACGATAAAAGAACCGCTTATCGTCCCCTTCAGTCACACTATCTTAACAGTAACTTAGACATGTTTCTAGTCTTTGATGGCATGACAATAATTGTAGGCGTTAGGTATTACAATCTATAAAAAAGATTCCTACTGAAGTACGCAAGGGGCTGAGTCATATTTTACTTCTCCGCTTTGAAGGAAGTACTTTAAAGAAAGACATATAGTAAAGTTTATCTAATACTATTAAAAAAGTACCTTTTTTAGAGAAAAGTTTTTATGACTATCTGATACCAAAATAATGGATTTTGTTTCTTCTCAATGTACCAAAGCACTTTTTGATTATGAAGTTAAGTCACATATCACGTTTTGGAGATCACTAATAGCGAAAAAAGTCACTCATCCCCAGGTCACCGTGTGTTTGAGAACAACGCTAGAATCTACACTGTAAACAACATTTCCTAATTAATCCCGCTGACGCTGCAGCCTCCCTAACTTGACACGAATCTTCTGATTTTGGAGGTACGCTACATGAAGTCCTCATATCGTCTTCGAAATTATCTAAAACATGGGACAAAATTTTTCTTTAAATCTTTTGCTCGAATAGAGCTAAGTATGCTTATTAAATTGGCACAGGTTATTTTCAAATCAATCATTGAATTTTCGAAAATTACAAAAGTTCTCGTCCTTCTACAACTAGTTTTTGACGAAATTGAATGTTATTAAATAAATCTGTTAAACACTTGGATATTTAATTAATATAATGAATTTTTTTTATTAAATGCATGCAAATAACACAATGTTGTGTGAAGTAAGGGACGTTGTTTCAGTGACGGCTCAAAATTGTTTCTTTAATGTTTTACACGAATGGAGTAATGTTTGATAATAGCATGGCGTATGCCTGATTTTCTTTAAAACCTTTTTAATTTCAATAACTGAAAAAAATTGAAATTACTTTTTCTTACCTCCAGAGCGTTTTCGAAGGCCATTAGCAAAGTTATATAGTGAATAAATGCGTTGGCTGCGGAAACTAAGTTTCTTGTTTGAATCCCAACCCAAACAAATATTCTGGGTTCAACTATTTCTACGACACTAACTAATCGTTAAAAATAATGCAGGAAAGTGTGTACTGCTGAAGCACCACTATTTTTATTTTTAAACGAAAAAAAACTGCAATTTTAATGATTTTATTTTTAGTTCGCTTTGTGGTATTGGGAAAACACAATGGACAGTATTAAAACAAGATATACAAATGTGGTTTATAATTACGTTATACCGCTTAGATGAAACATAAGATATCAAGATATCAGATATACTAGTACCAAGTAAAAAATATGAAACATTCTTCTGACGATACTCATCAGACGTCCCGTCGTAATAACAGATTCAAGATCAAAAAGATATATTTTCAGACGAAAACATCGAAACAAAATGTATACCTTTTGAAAAAGATTTCATTTCCAGAATGTTATTGATAGATCTATTGCTATTATCATAATAATAAAAAACTTGAAATGTGCAGCAAACGTTATTCGACACTTTTCAGAACATGTCAAAATCGAAAAACAATCCCGTATATTTTTATGTAT